TCGCACAGCTCCTGGCCAGGGCACACCAAGCACTGCCCAGCCCCGGGCCAGCCCTGCTGACAGGGGCACACAGGGGCTGCTGGTGCCATCCAAAGGCTCCTGGTGTGAGTATCAGCAGGTCAGAGACTTCCCTTGCACGGCTGGTGAGCACATCTGAGAACAGATTCCAGTGGGTGCTATCTAACCTGATCTGGGGCCTGGATACATGCCCAGACATTTATGGTGTCTCGTTTATTCATTATTGTGCCATTTTCTTGGTTGGTGATGACACAAAAATTTGAACCAAGCTCATCTTTCAGGATCAACCTCAGCTACTTGACTTTTTAATTTAAAAACATTTTTTAGGCAACAGAGTCTGATATGCAGAATACCCCTGACAGAATGGATGTTAAGGATCTTACCCTCCCTGCCTTTCCTTTAAACCATCTCTATCATTAATTACTAGGTGTTGACTCAGATATTCCTAATCTCGATCTATTCCTACTATCAGCTATATGGCCTGTCTTATGTTCTATTTAATGAAGCTTTTAAAGAAAACTAGAGAACTCATAATGTCTTTAACTTACAGTTTTGACTTCTAGATGACATAAATCAGGGTATTTCCTAAAACTTTATTTTAAAAGATTTAGTCATGCTTTGTTCATTGAAGCTTATACGGGCTAGTTTAGCAAAATTTAAAATTTCAGTGACTTTCTAATCACTCTTCAACAACAGTCGTCTCTGAAAAAACTTAACTATGTGCTGGCTAAAATGGAAAACTCCACTGCTTATTATTAATACACTGGTACTATTGATTACAACAATTAATAAAAAAGTTAATTAAAATCATTAATTAGAAAAAATAATTAGTAAAGTTATATAATTACCAGCAAAACAGACACTGCTCACAAATTATGCTATTTCTTACATTAAGTAGTACCAAGTCAGACATATCAGAATTTACAAAGCAATGCAACAAGTAATAGCTGAACAGCATAATTTTTCCCTGAAACAGTCTCAGTGGAAAATATTTTCAACAGTTTATTAAACAAGTTTACCATTGAAATAATCACATGCTGCCCACTGAAAAAAGGCTGCACTAACTTAGAAGTGTGAAAACAAATGGAGAGTTCTGAGCAAGATAATCCTTCCAGGTACATCTTGCTACTGCTTTCGCTCAAGTCCATTTGAAACAGGTTAATACCAAAGCAAAGTAAGTCACTCAGACTGAAATCAGAGTGGGTTTGCACTGCCTTAAGTAAAATAGTGCTAGTCTGGGTGTGAAGAAAACCTGAGTATTATGTCTTGTCTCTGCAATAAGACCCCGTGTAGATGGGGCTTCCTTTTGTTTGGTAAGAATTTAAATGCAGTTTAAACCTGATTTATGCCGATTTGGTTTAAACAATATGCAGAGTGGTCTGAATACTGCCTAAATGGATCAAGATATAAATGCATCAAAATGGAATTACAGAGAAAAAACCATAATCTTCACCTAATCAAATTAATTTTAAAATGTGTTCTAAGGATTCCACTTACATTGTCTTTATGGCACTAAGAAGCAAGAAGGAAACTTTCAACTGGTAGACATTCTATGAAAGAAATTGAGCTAATCTTTTTTTCTTCTTAAATTAGAAAGCAAAACAGAGAGTTACAGAATGAAGACTCCAAAATATTCATGAAGGAGAATGTTCTGGAATTAATACCCTTTCCTAGTTTTCTTTCTTTCCTCTTCATCCTATTATCCTTCTATTGGTACCTTTATTTTGCATTCCAAGAGCATTTCCCAGAGTTCCTTCAATGTTTTGAATAGTTTTTTTTCCTTTAAAGGAAAGATTTAGAAGACTTCAAATTACTACTTTTGGTACTTCACTTTTTCTCTCTGACTTCTGTCAGTAGTGTCACTGTTCAAACTGATTAAAGCCTGAACCATTATCCATTGTCAGAACATAATAATGGTATTAACAGCTGTTTTGCTGGGATGAAAAAAAAAGCTCTCTGGCAATCATATCATTAAACAAGTAATACAAGCTAGAAGAGCTGCAGGTTTCTTGGGTGCCCTCTTGGAGCTTTTTAAAACACTACCTAGCACCACTTTACTATAGGCCACAAGAATATCTGTGCAACAAAGGTCTTCAGGCAATATTCAAGACACAGAAATCATGGAATCACAGTTTCAAATCCAGATTATTATTGAAGCTGACAGTATTTTCTTCATCAGCTTATACAAAACCTGGAAGAAACACAATTTCTCTCTGAGCTATGGGTCATAAGGACATGTAAGAGTAGCCCAGCTGGCAGTAAAGTTTTGAAATTTTTGTTGGCATTGATTCTAAACTTTTAATTTCAAATGACAAAACCATGCCAGAGACAGTTTTTCCAACCAACCTTTTATACTATAAAATGAGTTATTTTTTTTATTTTGGCAGTGCCAATATAATTTGAGATGTCAGCATATATCTAGTGCAGAAAAAAATATGAACAATCTTAAACCAACATCTTGCCAGTATCATGCCACACTCCCCTTTGCGAAAGAAAACGTTTTTACTAACTAAATTTTAGTATTTATGTGAAAGTCTCTAGAGCTTTAGAACCCCAATTACTAAAGCCAGAGATATTTCTCATGGTTTCAAACATGCAGAATAAAATTCCACTTCAGAGAGAGGTGCGATGCCAGCAAAGGATGCGATTTTGTGAGCGGGCAGGGCAAGCGGGCAGGGCCAGGTTGGGGAGCGGCAGCCAGGCCGAGGGGCTCGGGCAGCGCCCAGGCAAAACCAGCACTGCAACCCCAGCACTGCAACCCCAGCACTGCAACCCCAGCACTGCAACCCCAGCACCGCAACCCCAGCACTGCAACCCCAGCCCCGCAACCCCAGCACCGCAACCCCAGCACCGCAACCCCAGCACCGCAACCCCAGCACCGCAACCCCACCCCGCGATTCCCGGGCACCTCGGACGAGCTCCCCCGGGACCTGCCCGGCTCAGCCCTTGCCCTGCCCGCCCCTGGGGTGGCCCTGGCACCGCCACTGCCCCACAGCAGCTGCCCCACAGTGGCCGCCCCACCCGCACTGCTGCAACGCCGCTGTCCTGGCTTGTAAGATCAGCATGTATTCTATTGCCATCTGTTGGAGGTGGGGCATTTTCCTTATCTCTTCCAAGAACAATGTTTCCCTCCGGGGAGATCTCTTCTGTTAATGGACCATTGAGTGACTCACTGCATTGCTGGTAAAGTTCCATCATCCCATGGTGAGATGCTCCGCCCAGAGGGAGGAGCCAAGCATTCCTACCTGCATAAAATCAGCATTTTTGGGACAGCAGGGCAGCCCTTTGCTGGATTCCCAGAGGAGCAGCTTCTTCTGTGCGGGATCCCCAGAGGAAGACCAGGCCCACCACTCCATCACCAGAACTTCAGAGAAAACCCCACCCTTCTACAGAATCACTGCTTCAGCAACATTTCATCTGCCCCTCCAGGAGAAGCAGCCAGCATTTAACTGGACTATTACCACAACCTGACTCCTCAGGGTGTCAGGTTTCTGACTCTATCACTAGTTTTGTTTGTACTAATTACATTTTTTTAAATTTTTATTTTTAATTGTATTTAGTTTTTCTTCTAGTAAAGAACTGTTATGGGAATGTTATTCCCATTCCCATATCTTTGCCTGAGAGCCTTTTAATTTTGAAATTGTGGTAATTGGGAGGAAGGGGGTTTACCTTTTCCATTTCACAGGAGGCTTTTGCCTTCCTTCACAGACTGCTGTCTTTTCAAACCAAGACAGCCGCCCATACCACCCCTGGCTGTCACTTCCAGAGTTTCCAACGGCCGGGAAAGAATGCCCAGGAACACCAACATTGATGCAGCAGCAATGCATTTAACCCCAGCTCTGCTCACTCCCAGCAGCACAGCACCTCCAGCTCTCAGCTCAACAGCCCTTTCTGCCTGCCACCAATTGTTCTCAGAAATCTCATTCTCCCTCTGCATACACTTGCTGCATACAAAGCCCAAGTACTATTAAAATCCTGCCTCTTTTCCTGCCAAATCACTTGATTACTCCATTTCATTTCAATACTTGCTTGACAAATCCAACTCTGGAAACACTAAGGCCTGGTCTAATGTTTACAAGAACTCATTTCAGCAAGTCTTACTACATAATCAAAGAATGAAATGAAGACAAATAAAACTCATCCATGTACTCGGATTTTTTTGACTGTTACATACATAAAATCTGTGTAGCTAACGGGACTCCAGAATACTGCCAAGAGGGAAACAAAGCAGGAAGAACAGGTCAATACAAAAGGACTTGCTAGATGCATTTTTCTGTATACCTTACCTTCCAGTGCACAATTATTACCTGCTAATGTGTATATCCAAACAAGTTGGCTAAAAAGAATGGCATCATTTTGCTGAAATTGCTTTCAACTGATGGATATTTTAATCTTTCTAATTGATTTAAGTTACAACCCAATCCTAAGGCATGAGATGCCTTAAGCAAAGGACAGTCACTCATTTATAGCAAATTAAGGTACTCTTAGAGTAACACATCACAGATTCATGGGAAATTATTTGATATTTTTTAGATTATTGTAATTTAGACAAATGAGTAAATAGTCCACTGAATCACAGGATAGAGAAAATGATTGGCAATTACCTTACTTGAAAGAATGCTACCAGAACAAAATGGTTAAGTAGCACATTTCTAAGAAAGTGACATTTTACAAAAAGACAAAGGCATATATTTTCCACCAAAATCTAGAGCTGCTGTCATCAACAACCCAACAAAAGCTACAGCTACCTAAAATGGAAATGAAAATGTAATGTATGGAAATATTCTCTTATAAAATCTCCTTAGGCTTCACATGTATTAATGTATTAGTTTGCAAACATTAAGATCAAAGGCGAAGCAACAAATATATCCTAAAAAGTTTTTAGTCAGATTTTTATTAACGATATACAAGTAGCAAGGCATAAAAAATTAATATGTTCAAGCCTTGAAATGTCAAGTGTAATGATCTCTAGCTCTGCTTACCTCCTTTGCTTTTTGTTTCAGTCTAGCTTGCTCTGGGTCTTCTTGCCTTGAGCGACTCTACATGTTTAAAAAAAATGGGGAAAAAAGGTTAACAGATGGTTTAAGAACCCCTCATCTGTTGCAGTAAGTTAAAAAATAGCAAAGAAATAGGAACAGGAATCAAGGTATCAAACATGGGACACTTGAATTGACAGAAGTACAATTTCAAACCCATGAGCCTCATCCAAAATGAGGTTAAATGCTCAGCTGTAAATGAGATATAGTCAAGATCTGAATTAAAACAAAAAACAAAAAACCAAAAACAACAACCACAAAAAAAAAAACCAAACCAAAACAAACCAAAACAAACAAACAAAAAAAAAACCCAAAAAACCCCCAAAAACCCACCAAACAAAAAGAACTCAACCAAAACCCAACCCAGCCATGTTTTTGTCAATGTGGAAATTTCCATACAGGTTTAGATTTCAATGATTTAATACTAACCAATTCAAGCATCCAAGAGCTGAAGCTACACCCTTTCCATTAACTGAGCTTTTAAATTTATGTCCTTACAATCACATATCTTAAAATTTACTGTTTGCAACTGAGTTTGTATTTAGCTCTTGGTAGAGAACATGAAGAAAACCATTGTAAAGATGCCCTTCCAAAAGGTAAATCTTCATAATAAAGATGTTATTGTTCCATATGAGCTCACTTTGAGTACAGCATAGAAATACACTCGGTAAAACCCATTAATGCACTACTAATAATATTAATATTGTCAATTTTAAAACTGGATAAATATCACTAAATCACAACTTTTGTATTTTCCTCCAAAACCACAAACACCTCTAAAAGCAGATAATGTAATTACAATAACAACCTGTAACATTTCTTTAGACATAGAGCATTTTATAACCACATGTCAAAAAACCATTAAATTTGTATTTGTGCTCACTATACATTCTCAGACTGATGGAATTCAAAACTCAAGAGGCAGATAATATACACACTATACTTTTACAAATGTGTGATAGGCCAGCATTCAGTAAATGTTGCATAAGAAGTTGTAAGAAGCTCCAATAAAACTCGTGACATCCATGGAAAATTGTTGTTCCTGATACCTGAGAGATGGGGTAGTTCTACTTGAGTATTTCTTTGAGATTTAAAGTGATATCATTTACCCAACTCCTAAAGGAATGTCTGTGCCTTCTCCTATCTGTCATTCTCTACTTGTTGCTATGCTGAAGGCAGACCTGAAACTTGAAACAATATTCGTTTGCAAACTTATGTATTCTCAGATTTTTTTCCAGTGTTTAAATTTTTCATACTATATTCTGGTCAGAATTCAAAAATCCATTAAGAAAACCAAAGTGAGATAGGTTTTAAGGTCTTGCACTTAAAAGGGTCATGTACTATTTTTGATACACCTGGAGAGTGCCTTGGCTTGATTTGGCACAGAATTCCGTATCCTTTCTCCTGTTCATTTTGTGGGTTGGTTGGTTTTTTTTTGAACTGGGATTATTTTTTTTCAGCTAATATAGTGCACCTATAAAACACAGTGGTGATAACACAGAGTGACATTAAACAATAATGAGATTTTTTGATTTTTTGATTTAACTCTTCCACTGTGCACATCAGCTTCACCTTCCAACATCTACAAGTGCTTTTGTCTGTTGGCATAAAAAATTCTTGGAAAGGACATTGTCTGCAGCAAAGAATGCCAAACCAAACTGAAATCTGGAATAGTCAATGACCAAATCAGACTCTCGTGTTGCAGTTGTGCCAACCTAGAAAGAAACTCTACCCCAACACAGGCTGAGGTTCCTTCTAACTGCTGTGGCCAGACAAAAATAAAAATGTAGATAATGTGACCTAGTTAATGTTCAAAGGACAAAAAGGATATGTGGGTCTGACAGAGAGCTGGGTTTCTAATCAACATAGCAATTACTAAGATCTTAATTGTATTTATACCTATTAGGTTAAAAACCAAAGTAACAAACCCCAGTCAGTGAGCTGCTTATCTAGGAGATGGGCTCAGGTCATATTTATGAACTGAGCTGAACAAGGTCCTTGCTGTCATTTTGCAAGAACAATTCAATCACTGGAGCCTCAGTTTCTCCAGTATGATGTATGGAAAAGCATATTTAGCCCTTTCCTAGGTTTTTGATTATAAATTTATAAATGTACAGTGAACTTCTATTGCCTTGTGAGCCTCACAGTGAAAGCAGTACAGAAACACAAAGTACTGTTACACTACTGTATGAAGCTGAAAATTCGCCAAATGCAAAGTACAAGTTAAAAGCACGTCAGCTCTAGGAGGAAGCAGAGTGTCCTGAGAGAATCCAACTAAGACTTCTAATATTGTTACTAACTTTCTACAAGGAAATGATAGAATCCTGGAAAACACACCAGATGTACGTAGTGTTTGGGGACAGTGTAAGAAAAATTAAAGCAGGAGATGCAAAGTAACATTGCAATTTCCTGGGCTCCATAAGTGAAGGAAAAACTCTGCAAGTTCTAGGGAGTAAATAATACATTCAAAAGTTGAGGCTTTTTCTTTCTTCCCCAGAAATTGACCAAGTAAGAGCAGATCTGGAGTTCAGGATAATCTCAACATGAAAAAGCAAGTAATGTACTCTGTGTAAACCTGCAGCTTGTTCACAGTAAACATACCATAAACATTACTGCAGAGGTGAAAGCAGGTACTCAACTCCTGAACAATATCAAATACAGGAATCTTGTTTCAAAAATGAAGATCTAAAATACCAGGTGAAGTTAAATATATAACTCAGATTGAAGGTGAAGACAGAACTATTTTTACATTTAGAATAATGCAATGATTTTCTAATCATTGCTTGAATCCATTTCAAAGAGCTTTTCCGAAGAATCCAGGCTAGTTCTTGTTTCCAACAAGCAGAATTCAAACTTAACATTGGATGTATCACTACTACTAAAAAATTAAAGGAATTTTTTGTTCAGAAAAAAATGTAACAGATTTTTTAAAAGCATATTTGTAAGACTAAAATACTTTCCTGCTGGTTACCATGCCAGTAAGCTTTAGAAATAAAATCATCAGCATACAAAGGCTAAAATGAATTGAAGGACATGTATAAACATCAACTATCTCATTAATTCTTCACTTTATGATCAAATGTAAATTGTAAAAGGCCTCACCAATGCTCATGTAACATGGATTAAAGCAAATATAAGCAAATGCAAATGTCAAGCTTAAGAGAGGTGCCTAAATGAGCTTTAGAAATGTCACTGGATTCTCTTTACACTCCATTCCACATGTGAACATTTCTCCCTTCCTCTGAAGAGTTTGCACAATTTTGCTGTTGCTCAGCTCTTGTAGTGCTTTGTCTACATGTCAACATCACCAAGCAATTATTTTACTATTTTACACTTACTTTTGTCAAGCTACTGACTAATCATTCCCAGCTTTTTTTAAATTGCAGTTTAACATTTTTCTTCCAGTTAATTCATATTTTGGGTTTTCTCTTCCTTTCTCCTTTATCCTAACATCCAAATCTTAATATGCAGCACTTCATCTGTTTTGTGAAACATTCTTTTCCAAATCTTTTAATGCACCAATGTTTCCTTCCTCTAAAACTTTAGAAACACCCACTAATCAGAGAATCCACCAAATCAAATATTTTCAAGGACTTTATCACAATTCCTTTGCCTTCCCCTCCCTGTTCATCATGTCTAGATCTGTAAATAAAGCAGGCTGCATTTAGTGTATTTTCCTGTTGATGAATAAACACCTTTAAAGGCAAGCAAGCTTCCCATAGTAACTTTTGAGAAACCCAGGACTGATCCTAAGCAGATAATATACGTCTAAATATATTAAATGCTGTCTCCTACTGTGAATGTATTCAGCAAACCAGGTTTGTTAACCTTTCTCCCAAGCACTAGCTATTTTATTAAACCAGACAACCTGATATTTTAATTGTGAAGAACCAAAGTGCTTTGTGTTAGAGAGTTCTTTATCAGGAAACTGAAAACTGCATAGATCATATTAGGTCTATGGAAATATTGGACTTCCAAAGTATGAAAAGCAGTTTATGTTTAATGTGAGTATTCAAAACAACAGAAATAAGGGGCTTCATTTACATGCTACCAAACTCCCTAATGATCCAAACCTCAGCTCTTCCCTTGGCTTCTGTTAAGGCAGGAGGCCACAAAAAGAGACATCTAATTACACATGGAACAGTGTAGTTTTAAGGGTATTTCAGATTTCATAGAATTGTCTTAAATTAGAAAGCAACAGTGTTTTTAAAATTATAAGGGTATTTATAAACACACCATAGTTATAAACATGCACTATTTTCAAAAGAATTGGAGTATACTCTGTATCTGTGAAGATGGACAGATTAAAAGTACTTCTGATGTGTTTTATTACCACAATTAATCAATACTTGATTTATATTCAATACTTGATTATTAACATCAAGGCTGCACTCTTGCTACATTTTTGATCGACTAACAAAATTAAGTGTTCTATTTAGATTTGTAAGGACTTGAAAGTCTCAGCTTGTTACACCTGTGTTGGGAAATGCCTCACAGAGTCTCTCCTGCATTTGCCTACATCTGATCCCACCTAAGACACTTGCAGCTCTACTGCCCCATAGCAGTATATATACTGGAGGTCTTGAATGCCTCAAAATCATCTTTTTGCATTAAATATTGTTAAGAGTCACAACTGCAGGTGCTGTACTATCAAGAGCCACTGCTGTGCCAACAGTTTCAATTTTATACCTATTTTTCCCCATTGATGACATTAGAACTTCACCCACGGCTGTACCAGCTTATAACTTTCACTTTTAATTAAAGAAATTAAATTGGCAACATGAAACACTTTGCTTTCACGTTAGCTTTGTTAATAAAAAGTGAAAGTTAAAAGCATCACAGCTGAGGGTAAAACGCTGCTCAGTGTTACAGCTATGGTGAGGTGGAATGCAGAAGCACAGGTCTGAAAAATGATTTATATTAAAATCATTAAAATTGCAGTAACAAATTCCTAAAAATTCATAAAATTATCTCAATGTAATAATTCCCATTTTGCTCTGCTCTCATCAAAAGTGAGTTCCAAGTGCTCATGCAGACAAGAGGCTGCACTGAATCCAATGCTCTCAGTAGAGATGGAAAGGATGAAATGGAATGCCAGCTGAACTCATCTCAGGGAGCACAGTCATCACAGCACACATGTGGAAGGAAATCTGCAACACCAAATTTCAATGATCTCTCCAATTAAAAAGCCCTTCAGCCTATAGTACTACCCAATCATCCATAAATGCTAATTAACTTCACAAACAACTCTAAACATAATTTTCCATTTACTTATGTATGTTTTCTTTTAACAGAACACATCATTTTACTTTGTGAGAGTTGCATTTAAGATCCCAGAACTTGACAGACTTGTGCTACTAATACATAACACTTAAAATAACAGACTAATCAAATGCATATATTGGAAATAAAATTTCAACACTAATTTTATAATAAAATTCACAGGCATTCAGCCAGTTTGAGCCAATCAATTAACACACTAATTTTCATGTGATCCACTTTATCATAGATTGTAACATAGAAGTATGATTCATTCATTTTTTTGAGAGCCAGGAAAACCCCAAGTTGTAACTCCTTATTATCACCACTCTCGCTCAAAAAAGAAAAAAAATCAGAAATAAAAACAACAAAACAACAACATATCAGCTACAACCTCCTTCCTGCTCCTTCTGCTGCCAGAAATACTTCCATTATTAGCCCAGAACCAGAACTTCATTCAACTTGACAGACACCACATGCATCTTCCAGGTCTTGAAGCAGCTATGAAAGCAGCAAAACACAGATTTATTATAGTAAGACTAGTGCTTTGTTGGGTTTGGTTTGGGTTTGTTTTTTTGTATGTTTGTTGTTTTTCTTTTTTTAAAAATCTGCACGAGACACACCATGTCAAATGCAAAGGTAAATTCCTCAAGTGATTTTAGTCTGGCTTTTGACCTTTCTGCAGCCTTAAGAGTCTCCTCAGCTGCCTGCACCATCCCCAAAGGCCCAGAGAGGATGTCTGGTTCTGCACACACCTGGCAACAACAGCCAGTGGCTCTCTCTGGCAAAACAAACCAGGGCCAAGAGTTGACTCTCCCAAAAATTTCCTTTCAAGAGACTGTGCTCCACATATGTGTTTATATACAAGATGGTCCCTCCTTGTGCTACTTTTTTTTTTCACCTGTGATACTTATGTCAGGAAGGAAACCCAAAATCAGTGACAGCCAAGGCAGCTCAGTCCCTCCCTGCACAGCTTCTCCTTTTGACACATCAAAAGGGCTGGGGGCTTGAGACAGGAGCTCTTCCAGCAGCAGGAGGTGCCTGGATCTCACAGTTTGGAGACTAAGATGCCTTTTAACACTTCTAAAATAAAAATAGTTACTAAAAAGTAAATTAGAGAAAAGCTTTGGGCCACATGTTCAAGGCTGGTATGGGAATGCTGTGAAATATTTTGGAATGTTGTGGGACACTGTGAAATATGGAATGGAATGTCATGGAATGTTGTAGAATATGATGTAGGATCCCTGAGGTGCAGGAGGTCATTTCTCGGCTTGTGATATTAAGTTTCTATTTCTCAAGTATTTCCCAGGCATGGGACATAAGATTTTGTAAAACTGTTTCATTTAACAAGCCAAAAACACTGCTATTTAGTTTCAAAGACACTCCTGTAGTGCCACAGCTGATTTTAACTATAGTGACTTTTCTCAGACTGTCTTTTTTTTTTTTTTAATCTAACTTTGTTTTCCTTCTACCTTCTCACCTGATTTTCTTTCTCCTTCTCCCAAAAATATTTCCTGAAGCAAAACCAAGCCAATCTGAGTGCTTACAAATTTTGCAATAATCTCCTATTGTAACAATTGAAAATGGTTGCAGATCAACCAGAACATTTGTGTCAAGTATTTTTCTTTCTCCTCATTAAGAAACCCGTCCACCACCCAAAACAACAAAAACCTGACACTTTCTTTGGCCATCATTTACCGTTTTTTTTTTTTAACCCCTTACTGAATTGGAATGCTAAATTACCAGATCAGTTTTAAGGCTTCCCAAAGATTCATGCTGCCTCTCCTTTACTTTCAACCTATTCCTTCATTTTTCATTATCTTCTCCATTGATTATCCTGTTACAAAGTAGATTATTTAACACCATCTGCTTCAAAGTCCAAAACATTTCTTTCACTATCTTATTCTTCATCAAAACCCAGACTATGGTTGTTAACAAAACTCCAAAGTGTAAGTAATTAAAAAAGAATTTTCACTGCTCAAGTTCAACCTTATTATGTTCTTCCATACAAGATGAGGTACCACCAGCAGGAAGCTTTGAAAATTTCACTAAAATGGTTCTGCTGAGTAACATTAAAAACAAGTTGCACAATAACCTGTCAAAACATTTCCAAGATAAAAGATCACACTGTTTCTCTAAAAGGCACATTAACAAGTTGCAGTTATAAATAAATATGATTTTTAGATTGAAGCATCTGTAGGAAGGAAAACAGACACAGAACTCTCACTTTAAATGCCAAAGTTTTTTATATTTTAAAGACAGCTTCTCAAGGTGACATAGGTGCTGTGACTGGGGAAACAGTGCCTTTGCATGGTGGATGTTTGAGCCTCCAGAGCCAGTTTAAGCATCTCCTCTTTGCAGACACAAATGTCAGCAGGGCACAGACAGAGAGAAGTGGGTACTGGTGGGTACCACTTCAGCAGGCAGCTGGAGCTGACTTTAACTGTGTCCATTCATTGCATTCCTGTGTCACTACAATGACTGCATCCTTCCCACAGGGGCCAAGATCTCCTCAGAAAAACAAGGCACGTTCACAAAAAAACCCCAAAAACCCAAAATCCTGGCTAAGGAATCAGTACACAGGAATTCAGAATAAAGATCTCAACAGCTATCACTATTCATGTACAGCTGCTTTTGCATTTGAGCAGCACCAGTGAATCTAAGGAAATAATGTAAAATCTGTTATTTAGAACAAAAAAATTGTAATCTGACCAATATTTTGCCAAACTATGTCCTATGTAAGCCTTGCACCAGGCCACCCATCCATCAGAACAGGCTGGGGAGCACCAGCCAAACAAAACAAGCTCAGTTCCTAACTGGCATTTACACTTAAATCACAACACTGCATAAGCACCTTCCAAGTGGTCCACAGTGTCTTCTACTGCTCTCTCTAAATATTAATGCTGATAAATCAGCACTGCTGCTGGCTACTCTGTGCTTTAGTTTTGGATTTTTAACATCTTCATTTATTTCACACCTTCATGTATTTTTATAGTATACCATGTATTTCTTCCAAGCTGTCTCCTGGTTATGAAGATGGCATATGCATTCAGTCATTTAATTAAGGTAATTTTTTTCCAATAAATTAGGGTATTATTTTACATTTTTTTGGTTGCAGAGTTCTTAAATTTGCTCTTCCTGTATTTTATAGGAATCAAACTTGATGATTGTGTATTTATTTCCTAAATTTAGACTTTACATGACTTTATATTATCCAAGACTAAAATAACAACAAAAATAACTGTTCAAAAGCCAGAATATCAATTCATGAAGGAATTCAGGTTGGAAGGAACACCAGGAGGTCCTGCTTGCATAAGGTTTTGTGCAGTCAAGGAAACATTTCTGAACTAAGGACTATAAGCTACTGCACTTTTCTTAATGTCCATTAAAAAAATCAACCAATGTAACTAACAAGCAACAGGATGCAGAGAAAATGATTCACCCAAGATGCAGTCACTGAATGGAGAAAACAGGATAAAAAATAAATAAGCATTTATTTATTTTTAATAAATAAGAATTAAGAATGAAAACAGCAAATTTGTTTTCATCAAAACATTTAAAGAGTATCTGTGTTGTGTGAAAATTTGTCAATATTTAATAATGTGAACAAGTATAAATTAAGAGTACAAACAGGACAGATTAAAGCAGCCTGAGAAATAGATTTCTAAATAAGCAAGGTTTGGTTTTTGTATTTTTTAATCTGTCAATTTGTGAATATTAATGGCATAAAATCAGGAGGCTGTGTTACAATTGAATATTGAGTTGTTCTGTATAACCTCTTCAAAATATACAATATATAATAACTCAATACAATAAAAATAACTCAATGAATATTCAAATACAATTAAAAATGGGATAACTAAGGGATGAACTTATTTGTAGTTAGATATTATATATATTATTAAATTTACAGCTACAAGCAGGAGTCTTATCTATACCTATGTGCTCTTGAAACAACATTATCTGAGTTTGTTCTACTGCACATATGAACACTCAGTCTCTGGAATTAAAGCTACACAGGAGTAAGTCCTGAGAATGGGCAGTTAACTGAAGACAGGCATGAATCAATCAAATACTGCAGTTATTCAGAAGCAACTGGAACACATTTAAATGAAGATGAACAAATGAACAAAACTGTTTAAAAACAAAGTCTAAAAACCTAAGAAGTAAAAAGCCTCTAAAAAAATAATCAGAGTTTACTGAATTTGTTTAAAGACCAGAAGTGTCAGCTATGATTCTCCAGTGGCACAGAAACCCTTGGCATATATTAAGTTTCACAGGCAATTGTAAAAAGCATTTCACATAATTATTTTCAAAGTGTTAGCCACTGTCTCCTGTATTCCCAAGAACTCATCAAATTCGGAGCTGTATGTGGAACAGACAGAGCCATCCCAGTCAGGGGAGTCTGGAGTCAGCCCAGACCAGAGCCTGACCATGAGTTCAAGGTGTGCTGTCACACCAATAGCACCTTTCTTATTGTAAGAAACAAAATGTGCTTAGGAAACACATATCACAAAATTAAATAATTGTTTGAAGGCTATGGATTGATAAGTAGTTAAAAAGCAGTGAAAGTGATACCTTGGCAGCCTTCAGCAAAATCTCCCTCTCTTGTTCATCTTTCCTTTGCTTTTCCAAACGCTCCAACTGCTCAAAGAACTTCAGCTGTGATCGGACATCCGTGGCTTGTTCATACCACTCATCATCCTGTAAAACAGGGACAGGCCTTCAGAAAAACAGCCACTTCAGCAAGACCATGCATTTAGAGACTGCAGGTGTTACACATTAAAATCTTTCCATTGCACTAATAATAAAATGATCATTTTTTAGGCTCTAGGAAATGAAGCCAGCCTATGGTTAATAACGCAGAGAGAATCTGATAATTTAATTAACATCTAAGAAATTTAAAAGATCAAGAATTGATTTATGAGCACCAGATACATGAAAGAGTTAAAAAAGTAAAACCAACTGACTTAATGATGGAAAACATCTAAAATGCTTAACTTTGTAAATGAATAATCCTAGCTATATTTTATAACGAGGCTCATAACCTCTAATTCTTACATTTGTACTAATCTTGAACTAGTAACAGACTTTCTCAAGAAGCAGCATTATAAAAGCATTAAAGCTAAAAACTCAGTTGAGAATAAGCCTCTAACTCCAACTAAAACAGAAGCTTATGACAACTAAGAGCAGGATAGTTTTTCTAGCACAGAGAATCCAGGAGAGTTTATGGCATGAACCACATGGACAACATTCAGAATGTCAGTCAGAACAGTAAGACTTCTTCCATATTACTTTCATCCCATTTATCTACTTTATGTTCTCCTTTCTGACTACCATGCTATGAAATCAAAGAATAGCATTAATTAATAAAAATACAGAATACAGTGACAATGCTACATTTCAGTCAGAGACAACACTATTTTTTTTCCTAAGGATCTTTTAAGACACTTTTAAATTCTTCTTTGGCTTAATATGGACTAAAATTGTTTTCTTCACAGACACCATCCTAGAGAAAAGGAAGGGGGAACTCAACACTTCTGAAAATTATAAAGAATACTGAACAGAAACAAGTCTATTTTACTTTTAATCCAATATAGTAGAATATATCCATCGATTGCAATGAAAGATCTAAGTGTGCATAACAACCAGGAAGAATGGCCTTTATTTTTTAATCAATTTTTCTATCACAATGACATTGATTATCATCACAGACCCCAGAGATTATTATTTTTGCAAATATTACATAGAATTAATCCAACCATGACTCAGGTCATGGGGGCCACAGGTTTGGGAAATAGGTAGGCTAAGACACAGTCCAAAGCTGTTTGACTAGACTGCCACTCCAGGAATACAAAGAAGTACGCCACAAAACCAAGGAACAGAGTAAACCAGAGCTATCCAATGTATATATATATATGCTAATGAAATGCACAACTAGTTATTGCCATCTTCCTTGACACCAGTTTAACAATTGTAATAACTAACAAGCATCTTACTTCTACTGGAAAAGATATTTCAAATATATCAGGAAAGATGTTTGACTCATTTGAATTTCAAACTAATTTGTAGATCTTTATTTAAATTTCCCCCTGGTCTGAGATATCAAAATTGTTTCAGTTTTCTTCAGGAATAAAATCACGAACAAAAAAATCAGTGAAGAATTTACAGCTGAATTCTTTAGTTGCTAAGGCAGATACTGGCAGCTTTTGTAAAATATTAATATTTCTGACATCCAGAAAAGTTAGTATAGATTCTTAAATACCAAAGCAATTTTGAGGCAATTCCTGGATACCCTGGACAAAAAGGAGCTATCAGGAATCAAGTCTTAGTCACAACCCACGAGCAGAAATACCTTAGCACGTGCTCCAGACACTTCAGCACAGAAGGACAGAAACAACTCCACACCCAAATTCCCCTGAGAGGAGAAGATGGGCAGGCAGGCAGGCTGTGCCATGCCAGCAGAGGTTCTGAGCAGCCAGCTGCAGTGAGGGCAGCAGTGCAGCATGGAGCAGGACGTGGCTGTGAGCACACCTGCCCTGGGCACACTTACTTTGTACGACTCCATCCGGTGCTGGGTTATCACCGTCACCTTCTCTATCACTGTCCTCAATCTGCTCTGTGTTGCGTGGGAAATAAAAGTAACCACCTCAGCTGGCACATCAGTAATTCCTAGTTTTTTAGCTAAAGCAAAAAACAAAACAAAACAGAATTAGCTTACCCCCCTCAGAGGAAAAAAAACCCAGAACACAAACAAAGCTCTAAAGGACTTTACATCACTACTTCATTTTCCTGCATAGAAAAATCCATGACAGTGTATTTATGTGGCTTTGGTCACACATTCCTGAACCCCTGAAAAGATGCAACTCTACAAGTTTAAAAGAGAAATCAGAGAATTTCCTGAACTCTTTAAAGCACTTAGGAACTTTGCTGAAATTTAGTCTGGCACATTAAACCAAGGCATGTCAGAGTATGAGACAATCTGAATTCTCAGTTGTTCTACACAGAAAAAACAATTCCTTTATTTTCAGAAGCATTAGTGCAGATGAGTTTCAGTGTCGAGCAGGTGAGGGTGCAACCCAAAGCATTCTGTTGCATCCTTGAGCCTACACCATTGGCATAGTACCGATAACAGAAATTCCTTAGGGGAAAAAAACCACCTATTAATTGAAGGCAAAGAAATAAAGTAATATCAAAAAGAGTTGTTTAGAAACACCAGCTGTCCCCCCAATACATATTCATGGCTACCTGGACATTTGATACTTCGTGCTGAGTTTATAAAAAAAGCAGTCTACAGTCTAATGCATTTATATATTTAAAAAACATCCAAACTACAGAAAAAAAATAATATGGGTAACACTTAAGGACTCCTAAATTCATCAAAATAATCACTAAGTATTTGAAATAAATTTGTAGGTATATGAATATATGTACTTATTTAAACTAGAGTCCTACAAAGACACATGTGGTCCCAGCAGGACAATTTTCTGGGTAGAAAACTCTCTGTGTTCACGCATAGATAAGTATATTTCACACAGGAAAAAAAGAATAAATCTGCTGAGTCAGTTTTCCATTGAATGGACACAAGACTTTCAAGAGCAGTTTGGTGGGGACACAGGAATGGTTATGCAAAACACAGAAATTGGTGCCTCGTTTGGTCAGTGCCTCCTACAGAGCCAGCTGCAAGGGGAATCCTTCTTTGGGGAGGGGTCCCAGAGCAAACACCGAACTCAGCTGCGCGAGAGCGAGTGTTGGCTTGGCGAGGCATTCCTCCTTTCCCCTGGCTAAATTGGAGAGCAAGAAACCGTCCCACATCCAAAAGAATGTGGGAGAAACGAGAAATGAGTGCGGGTGGCAGCGGGAGTGGAGCAGGGCTGCAGCCAGGGGGAGCGGCACCTGCTCCGTACTTCCCTTCCCCCGGCTCCCAATCCAGTGGGATCTGCCCCTTCCCTTGGCTCCCAGTCCAAGGGGATCTGCCCCTTCCCTTCCCCCGGCTCCCAATCCAGCGGGATCTGCCCCTTCCATTCCCTTCCCCCAGCTCCCAATCCAGCGGGATCTGCCCCTTCCCTTGGCTCCCAGTCCAAGGGGATCTGCCCCTTCCCTTGGCTCCCAGTCCAGGGGGATCTGCCCCTTCCCTTCCCCCGGCTCCCAATCCAGCGGGATCTGCCCTCCCCGCGCATCCCGTCCCGCCGGAATCTCCCATTCCAGCCCCGGTGCGCTCCCAAGCCGCGCCTCCCCAGCACGGTTCTCTACTCTGGCTACCGCTGCTGCTCATTTTAGGGATTCTTTGAAGTCGTTACCTCTTAAAATAACTTAATCACTGACCCCCTATCTTTACACGTTACCGTAAGGATTTCAGCAAGATGTATATATGATTTTTAACTAATTTTTGCTTTATCATGGGGAAAAAATAAATTAAACCTTTCTCGGTGCCCAATTTGTCCTGTGTAATAGAGCTGGAGCTGCGCTTGGGTTGCTGAAAGCTGAACGACTAATGGCAAGCAGACACACACATTAAATCCCCACGCTGCAACTGCCACCCAGGCAAATGAAGTCCTTGAAGTTGGGAGGATGATTCCTACAGGCAGGAGCAATTCCTCCAAGTCAGACCGGCAATATTTGAGCACGCACCATTTTACTACGCAAACACGTGTAAGCAAAGCCATCAGTCAGAAAACCCTAGTCTGAAAGATAAAATCCAAGTAAGAAGGGACATTTAATTAACTACTACCCAGAAAGGAGGCCTGGAGATGGAAAATTCTGCCTTATTCTAGGTAAGGTTGAGAATGTGTAATTGTTATAGTTCTTTGAATTTGAGTGTAACTTCAGCTACCCAGCTTCTCTGAAAACACGCACACTCCTTTTATAGTAAGAACTGTTGCCATCTTGGGTTTTTTCACAATAAAGGTCTTTCTAATCTCAAAAAATTTTATTCTAAGTAAAGTCAACCATTACAGGACTTTTCTTGTCCCTTTAACTCTTCAGAAATTCAACCATCATCTATGAACCAAGTATCTCTGAGATACTTGATGCCTTAATCAGCCTCTGCTGATCTTGTCCTTCATCAGCCTCTGCGATATCCCAGTAATTACCTTCTCCTAAAATCCCTCAATATAATATTCCCAAGTCTAGGAAACGACCCAGAAATCAGAGAGTCCCCCTCAGGAATCTGCCCCGGGACTTCCCCTTTTTAATGGGTGTCTCAGGGACCTCAGGGGTAAGAAACAAAGTCCTCATACCAAGCCTGCAGATGGCACCACCCTGAGCAGTGCACAGGGAAAGGACCTGGCGAGTGAAACGAGAGGAACTTCATGGAACTCTTGAAGGACAAGTGCAAATCCCTGTGCCTGGGCTGGACCCACTGGAATGCCATGGGCTGGGGTCAGCAGCCCTGATGGGATGCATGGAGAGCCTGGAGACCAGCAGGTTACCCAGGTTCCAGCTCTGCACCCTGGCACCCATGGGCTGCACCTACAGCAAAACAATAAATCAGTGGTAACCAACCCACCTAGGGAAGCAACTCCTCCTCTTCACTCAGCCCACATGAACAACCCTGCACCTTTGGGTCACCCAGCACAAGAAAAGCTTGAAAAAAATTGAATCCAGGAAAAAGTCAGCAAGATGGTCATGGGGTTGCAGCACACAACCTACATGAGGAGAACCTGAGGGTTCTTTTTCTTGGACTAAGAAGACTTAAAGGAGAGTTTATTGAGAAGATAGAGCCAGACCCTTTATTAAGTTTGCCCGGAAGAAGAATGAAAAATAAATTCATAAATTGAAACAGCTCTTTCTGACTGGATATAGGGGAGAACTCTTTCATGAAGAAATAATGGAACACTTTGCACAAACAAGGTGCAGACTGTTCCACCTCTCAAGTCTTTAAGACTTGGCCAATTAATATCCTAAACAACCCAGTCTAAACTGAATGTTGATTCAGCTGTGAGCAAGAGACTAGAGTGGTTCCAAGATCCCTGTCCTCCTGCATATGTGCTTCCATATTCCTTATTACTGCACAATACTGTGACACCTCTCCTACATCTGAGATCATCCCCTGGCACATCTCCCAGTCCATATTTGTCCAGCATGCCAGCTGAGCACAGTCAGGGACCTTGAGCCTGGCCAGTCTGTGCCAGAGAGCTCACTGGCAGCCAACCAGGCAGAAGAGCAAAGAATAAGAAAAAAATGGGTTTATTTCCCCCTCAACTCAGGCACACAGAGGGGGCTCTATCTAGCTCCTGATTTATCAGTCAATTCAAAAGTGACCTGAAGGGAAAGAAAAACGGCAAATGGAATATTCAATCACTTAAGGCTAAAATTCTTTGGAAAACAGGATAAGGGGAAAAGAATACAATTTCCCCCCAAATGAATTAGCATCAAGAAACCAGACTACAAAAAGACTTTTAAAAAGTCATCTTGTCATTCACACGATCCATCATGTGTAGAAGCATCATCACGTCTTCCCTACTCTAAATTACATTAGTTAAACCCTGTTAGCCTGGGATGTCAGAAGCAGGGTGCATTCCAAAGCTGCATACTACATGAAGATTTGGCACACTCCTTAAATACTTGGATTGCACTTGGGGCAAGGGTGGGAAAATTACCAATTTCATCCATGCTTGGTAATCCTGGTCTGCTTATACTTTCATACACAGCTGCTCACACCACTGTGCTGAATCCACTGACCTATGAGATGTTGTGATACCACTGCTTAGAGCCCGTCTCTTTTTTGCTTTCTTCTACTCAGAAAAAATACCAAATAGAAACTGAATGTAAGCACAGGGCTGGCAACTGTTAATTTTCATATGTTTCTGTATTAAAGTCTTAGTTTTGTCTTTTTTTCTTGACTGCCACTTCTCCTCCTGAGATCTGCTCTCATTTATAAATTTCATAAAATGAAATATATAAAAGATCATCCAGTCTCATTTATAAAATGCATACTGGAATCCTGTCTGCCATCAAAGGAAAATAACACTTCTCTCTAAAAGAGAAATTCCTAACATATTCTTCTAGTCTGCTTAATTACTTTTCTCAGTGTTAATAGGAAAAGGCTACTCCTCCTCTTTTCAAGATTCCCTAGAGTGATAATGATGTGGAACAGAAATATGATTTATACTTTTAAGAAATGTATAGATACACATATATAGTCTACTAAACATAGTTAATTATATCACAAAACACAAATATCCTTGTTATTACTCATCTTTCTAACCAAGTTATTTGACAGTGGGCTTCATCTACTGATGTTTTTATTTAGGCCCTAGCATTCTGAACTCTGGTCTTAATTGCACCATTTGATCTTTACAATACATTCATTTAAATATGTGCAGACACCATGAAGAAAATTAGGATTAAAAAACAAACAAACAACTTACTTCTATCAACAGAGTGCTTTCCCCTGTCTGTCTTTTGTTTTTAAAAAGTTTAACTTCTTGCTGATTTTTAGGTGATCATCTCAATGTGCTTTAAGTTTGATGATGTGGTAATCTTAACTTGCAGTCTTGTGATCAAAAGTATCATATGTGGAATTTGAAAAGAGTTGCTTGCTTTTAAATAATATATTTATTAAATTTAGACATTTTGGATAAGAAGTATATGCCTCAAGTCTTTAAAATTACTTTGGCAGTGTAATTTTGAACTTTTCCTAGAGCTATGATAAAAACATCATTAAGGTTAACAAAAAATTT